GAGGTTGGGCAGAGGTTCCTGCAACAGCTTGGAATGTTGATGAGTGTTGGCCTTCTGCCTCCAGGTGCACTGGCAGGAATTCCCTGGTGAGAAGTTGGACAGAGGGGAAGCAGGGCTTTCCCTAGCCTCGGGATAACTACACAGGGTGGAGCTCACCTAGCTGGGTGTGGTGCAGGCGTAAATACCCTAGGCTAAGGGGAGTGGTCTGGAGGTCAGCAGTGGAGTGTGAGAGAACAGGAAAGAGAAAAGAGGAGAAAAAAATTAAAAAGTAAGACCAGTTTAGACTGTGCAGTAATATAGGGAAGAGAGGGAAACAAAAGCAACTATGTAGCTGAGTCCCACTCCCACCCAAATGGTTTAGTGCCTGCTCCAAGGCAGCTGGGGCAATCCGCAGCTGAGCTGAGAAAAAGCCCCTGCTCGGCACTCAAAGACCATGGGGGTACAGAGAGCAGAGATGGAAACAAAAGCAACAATGTAGCTGAACCCCGATCCCTGCCTGTGGAGCTGCAAGGGTCCAGACCCTGCCCCGAGGCAGGTGGGGACAAACTGTGGTTTTGTCCATACCAGGCCCCCTACTGGCTCCAAATGGTCCCTGCTCCGGCAGAGACAGTGGCGGGGCCAAGGTCAAGCCCCAGCCGGCTTCCACTGAGGTAAGCCAAAAGCCCCAAGCCCCTCAAAACCCCATGGATCTGTGCCTACTTATCTTTATTATGCTCCTCCTGTGTACCAGTTGTATTAAAGATCCCTCTAAGCAACTCTCCTGGGCTGGATTCTGCTGAGTCCCTCTGGTATGTGTCATTCCGTCACCATCTCTCAGATCGATAATGCATTTTTTCCACTGACTTTGACGTCGCCTCATATAGTATAGAGAAGAGGATAGGGTTTAAGGGGTAGACAGTGAAGGGTTACAGAACTAGATGAGAAGGGCCTCCAAAGTTACACAGACAATGTGGAGCATAGTTTTAGAAATAGAAGTAACCTAAAAATGATCTAATCTAGCTTCCTTGTCAGTGTAATTGGGGGTCTTTGAGGAATGTAATGATAAGCAGAAATGATCATTATATAAAATGATGGGTATGGCAGCAGAGTGGAAGAACACAAGACAGCTCACATTCCTGAGATGATGCCAGTGGGAGCAGGCAAGGTAGAATTATAAAAAGAAGATTTATTAATTAGATACAGAAAGGGAAAAAAAAATCTCCCAAAGACTTCAGTGATGGCAGACAGGAGCTGGTGGAAGGCAGCAAGGTGCAGTTTGATACTCAAGAGTGTGTGAGTAATGGGTTGTTGCACCTCGAGTGTGGACACGTGTTCTTGGCTAGAGGTAAGGGTTTGTAATTTCATATAGAAGATTGTGGAAAACAAGGAAAGAAGCTGTAAGAGATCACGGGAAGCAGAATTCGCTCTAGATTACTACCTCCATGAGAGCAAAAGGCATGTGTGACAATTTTTAAGAGTAAGGATTCCATTTGTATTGAATAGATGCTCAAATGCATCCAGGGAATAAGTCTATTATCTTACTCCTTTCATATATACCATATATACTTGTGTATAAGCCGAGTTTTTCAGCATATTTTTAATGCAGTTTTGTGGTAAAATTAAGTGCCTCGGCTAATACTTGGGTCAGCTTATACTCGAGTATATACGGTACATAGAACATGTTATGACAATAATTGGATAGAAAAAAAATCAGTTGAAAGAGAATTGGTTCAATGTGGTATATACACACACACACATACATATATATGCAAATTGATAATTAAGATGTCTAGGAAAAAGGAATTAAAATAATGTTTATTTCTCCAGTGCTTATATCTGCAAACTGTATTTTAAAAACCAGAGCTTTTGAATATTTTGATTATGTTTTTTCAAGAGTTTGTAATCTCTTAGAGATGTATGAAAACATATGGATAAAATATGACATCTGGTTTGGGTTTTTTTGGGGGGGGGTTGTTTTTTCAAAATAGTTCAAGGAATAGGTAAAAAATTGACTTTAAATTGATAATGTTTTATAATGGTTACATGGGGATTGGTTAGCCATTCAATTTCTGTATGTATTGAAAATACTTTGTAAGGAGTTTGAAATATCAAAACAAGAGTTTATTTCATATCTTTTAAAACCATAACATTTAATATAAACTATAGATATATTAAATTTTTAAGTAGTGTACTGTCTCTGGAACTAAATCCATTTTCTACTCATAATAACCCAATTGGTTAGGATAGAACTGCCCCTATGGGTTTCTGAGACTCAATTTTTTGTGGGAGTAGTATGCCTTGTCTTTTGCCAGCAGTTTATAATTTAAGCAGCTTAATTTTCTTTTACAACAGTCAGATCACCTAACATGAACACCATCCTCTAGTCTCCTGACAAAATCACTTTCTTCCACAACATAACCATTCAGGTCTCCCCTGTTCTGTGACCCTTTTCTGTGTAGTGGCAAAGTTATAGGTCAGCAATAGCAAATGATTAAAACTTCAAGACAATATATTTGGGTGTTAACTTTGTTTTCATTTTGTATTTTTGCCCCAGCCTGCCTCTAGTAACCGCTTTCACTACTTATCCTTCCAGCATTTCTGTATGTACAAACACTTAAAGATATATTCTTTTCTACATTAAAAATCAAATGTAGCACCTTATATATATTGTGTATTTTGCTGTTTTCATTTATGTATCCTTGAGATATATATAGAACAAAGAGAACTTCTACTTTTCTTTATTACAGATTCATAATTACTCATTCTATATATGCACTGTCCCATGTGGTGGACATTTTTGCTTGTAATACTTTAAAACATTACGTTTCTAACACTTTTGTTGCTTATATTTATTTGCCTCTTTAAATTCATGTTACCTAGTATATAAGACATTTTTTCCCAGTCACCTTAAATCTTTATTTCAAATGGTTTAGGCTATGAGTAAGAACGTGATTACCTTTAAGTAAATATTTATTGAGTAACTGTATTTAATGGAAATTGTTCGTTTCAGGTTGCTCTCCTATTGTTAGAAAAAGAAGTATTAGATAAGAGTGATATGGTTGAACTTTTGGGCCCAAGACCGTTTGTGGAAAAATCTACCTATGAGGAATTTGTGGAAGGGACTGGCAGCTTGGACGAGGACACATCACTTCCAGATGGCTTGAAGGATTGGAACAAAGAGCGTGAGAAGAAGACAGAGGAGCCCACGGATCAGAAAATGGTGAACCAGATCAAAGGACAGATGCCAATCTAATTGTGTGTGGTTGCAATTTACACATTATTTCAACTTGGCTTTCACAGGAGAATGAGAACACTGCTAAGTTGATTTTTAAATCAACTTAAAAGTCAACTTACCCAGGTGAAATGGTGAGAAGAGTAGTATTTAGTCTTCTACCTCAGAGTTGTGGTGGGAATGGCAGTGTGACTTTCTGAATATCTTAGAGCTTCGTTGGACAGTGCAAGGCCTGTGAGTGCCTTGGACTGCTGGTTTCTCCTGGACCCTCAGGAAAGTGGGCTGACCATGTGCTAGGGTAATGAATATGTGAAATCTAGATAGGAGTTGAGAGCTACTTTTTCTTTTGATTGTCCACATCCTATTTCCATTTATTTTCCCACTATAGATGCAGGTTGCCATGGACAGTGAAATCAAATTCAAATTCAGATAAGAATATTTTCATTTGACCTAATATTTTAATAATCAAATTCTGATTACTTGTTGCTGTTTAATGGAATGGTTTTCTACAAAGAGCTGTAATATTTAAAAATAGTAATGTATTATGTAATTATGGCTTCTTTACATCAAGAAAAAAATAAACACTATACTTTTTTTTTCTGAGTACAAAAAAGTCCATATTTTTAAAAGCATAATGGCTTAGGAATTAAATGTTCTTGCTTTTTCTCATCAGCTAATGTATTTTTATACAAATGATGCACACATTATGAAGGTTGGTTTTTTTTAATTAATTTATTTTTTTTGCTAACCTTGACTTCCCTTCTCTCAGGACATTTTTGTAATCATGCTCTTTTTTTTTAACAGCAACATGTTTAACACATTAAAATTAGCATGTTTACAAAACTACCTTGGTGAGGGAGTGTTTGGCAGAAACCATATAATGCACATATTTTTATGTTAAAAAAAAATCTAGATTTGTGTATTCTGGGCTGACATACTGGATTTTGTATGTAATATAGACAAAGTATACTGTGAGGCAGTGGGTTTAAGGAGCTGGGTGATGATGTCAGCATAATAATCTTCGCTAGCTAGACCTTCGAAGACTTTGACCACACTGTCTGGGTCTAGGGGTGGATCAGGATGGTGGGCTTTGACAGGTTGTTACAGATCATCCTCTCCATGTTCAGGAATAATGACGCTAGTTGTCAAGGTCCTGTAACAGTTGTTTTCTGTGGTTTCTCAATAAAGTGGTTCAACTCTTTAGCTACCACTACTTTCTATTTGAAGAGAGTTAGGTAGTTTATGGTCACAAAGATACTACAGCACCCACACAGTGTTTTTTGGATTTTTGTTGTTGTTATGTGTAAGGTTTCCAAGAGTCAGAGTTGACTTGGCAGAAGTAGCCTCAATTAATGTAATTAATGTATTTTGCAGTGTTGCAGAAAACATGATATCGGAAGTGTTGCAGACCTACCTCAGAGTTCTTACAAGATGAGTTCACTTGGTTTTCAAGCACCATGATTTGGATTTGGAACTACCAAACATTTTTTAGCAGCTTCCTTAAATGGTATTCCAACTTGCTTTCATATTTATCTAATCGTGTTGTGAGCACAGGGGTTTCAGGCTTGAGATGTAAAATTATATGGTGTCTCTGGAGACAATTAGAAGGCAAGACTGTCTTCAAGCATAGAACTGGCTGAACATTATGACCCACTGACCATCACTTGGGAATTGGCACTCTTCCCCCCACAACACCATCATTACACTTCTACTAAACCCTCTGCCAATGGTCTTCTGAAGAAGCATACTGCCTATCTTCCTCATAGGATGATTTTAGGAAGTAGCTTTTGAAAGAATTGTTTTAAAGCTGTAAGATTCACCTACTCCTGACAGGGATTCAGCAAGGGCAATGTAACAAAGAGAAATTACTGAAACCCAAATGAAGGCTGAGCATGATAGTGGACATGACAAGAGGAAAGTAAAAGGAAATAGAGGAAAGAACTAGGAGGCAAATGGTATTTATAGAGGTCTAAATACAGGCATGTACATATGTAAATATATTTATATAGGATGGTGGGGAAATAGATCTATGTAGATATATTTATAGTGGACATTGGACCTCCACTCAAATACTTACTCAATGCAAAAACACTTTGTTCTGTTAAATTGGCATTCCATGATGCGCACCTTCCCAACACAATTGCAGAAGACAAGTGTGTGCATAAAGCAAATGTGGTGAAGAAAGCTGATGGTACCCAGCTATCAAAAGATACAGCGTCTGGGGTCTAAAAGGCTTGAAGATAAACAAGTGGCCATCCAGCTCAGAAGCAACAAAGCCCACATGGAAGAAGCACACCAGCCTGAGCGATCACAAGGTGTAGAAGGGATCAGGGATCAGGCATCAAAGAACAAAAAATCCTATCATTGTAAATGAAGGTGAGTGCAGAGTAGAGACCCAAAGACGATCTGTAGTCAACTGGACACCCCCTTACAGAAGGATCGTGGGGAGGAGACGAGCCAGTTAGGGTGCAGGGTATCAACAATGAAACATACAACTTTTCCTCTAGTTCTTAAATGCTTCCTTCCCCCACTATCATGATCCCAATTCTACCTTACAAATCTAGCTAGACCAGAGGATGTACATTTGTACAGATACGAACTGGAAACATGGGGAATCCAGGACAGATGATCCCTTCAGGACCAGTGGTCAGAGTGGCGATACCTAGAGGGTAGAGGAAAGGTGGGGTAAAAAGGGGGAACCAATTACAAGGATCTACATATAACCTCCTCCCTGGGGGATGGACAACAGTAAAGTGGGTGAAGGGAGATGTCGGACAGTGTAAGATATGACAAAACAATAATTTATAAATTATCAAGGGTTCATGAGGGAGGGACAGGGAGGGATAAAATGAGCTGATATCAAGGGCTCAGTTAGAAAATGTTTTGAGAATGATGATGGCAACAACTGTACAAAAGTGCTTGACATGATGTATGTATGGATTGTGATAAAAATTGTACGAGCCCTCAATAAAATGATTTTTTTTTAAAAAATCACCTAGTTAGATGAGGGATTGGTGATTTATTCATAAAATTCTTGCCTTCCATGCACCAGACCCAGGTTCAATTTCTAACCATTTCTCCACTAGAGGTTTGCATGGTACTATGGTGCTCAGCAGGTTTCACTGGATGCTTGCAGACTAAGAAGAAACACCTCATGATCTGTTTCCTAAAATCAGGTAATTACAGCCAGTAACGGTGGGACAGGACCAGGCAGTATTTTGTTTTCCTTGTGCAAGGGCTAGAAATTAGAGCTGCTCGTTCTCCATCGGCACCTCTTCGAGGAAAGTGTGCTGGGCTGAACTAGGCTGGGCCTCCCATGGAATTGGTGGGTTATGCCAAAAAGTCCCATTTGATCCAGCACACTACACATGAGACTGTTGGTGACTCAACTCATGCTCTGGCACCTTTAAAAAAAAGACAAACCCCAGTGCCATCTAGTCGACTCATTAGTAACCCTAGGAACAGAACTGCTCTTTAGGGTTTCCAAGACTGAGTTTTAACAGGTGTTTAACTTTATTCCCATAGAATGGCAGGTGGGGTGGTCCCAACAAACCTTATAGTGGTTAAAAGCCCAACACAACCCAGTGTGCCACCAAGACTGTGTAGACAGTACTCGAATGGCCTGACATAGTTGCTTAGCCTCAATGGTTTACCTTGGTTCTGCAAAGAGATCCTTAATAGCTTCAACCCGCCCTTTGAGGGGACCATGTAGTACACAGCAAGCACTCTCTGTACTCATCTTTTCATATTCTTCAAGATCAAGTTGGAATCTGGTTGGAATGTTTATGGCGAGGTGTTTGGTTTTTTTACACACCATACCCTCAAATAGCTCAGAATTCTTTCTGCAAAGGGGGCTTTGCTTGCACATCTGTCAAATCTTACTGTGTTCCAATCTTGCCCTGGTCTGGGGTCTGGAATGCTTGTGCTCATTGTACACTAGGGGCAGGACAGGGAAAACGGTGGTTCCAGGCAAGAGTGGTGCTGTGGGGCAGCATGGAATCTGACGACACAAGAAGCCATTTTCCCCCTTTGTGCAGCACAGGCTGCAGGGGCTCTGCTTGTGACAACTCACCACTGGTACCAACTGCTACCATCTCGACCAGGGAATCTGGTATAGAGTATGGGAGTCACCACTCACATCCCTACACTCCTGTGGCGCCACCACACTGGAAATGAGTGCCACTCACTTCTTATTTGATAAAGCAGATGTTCATAACTAACTTACGGGACAATAAGGAAAACCCTGAAGTGAACAGCAGTCTACTTAATACCTAGTATGGCAGGGGTATGTGTTTTACAAGGCTTTTGAAAATATACTGTTATTTATTAAAACTATAGTTATATTAGGAGAACTAGTATATTGTAGCTAGCCCCAATCTGGGTTTCTTGTCAAGTTACAGAAGCACATCTCAGGAGCTGTAAGCTTCAGGGTGCTCCCATTTACCCCTCTTGATCCCACACACCCCATGCTGTGCCTGGAAGACTGAAGGCTGCTGCTTGTGCATTCATTGGCCAGCCAGAGCTGCGCAGGTACAGGAGGCTAGAAATAGGCCGAAATAGGCTGGCCTATGACGAGATAGCAATATGAAAGATTATTGGTTGCAAATAAGACAAACTAGTAGTCATCAAGTTGACTGACTCTCAGCAGCCTCAGGTGAGCCAACACTGAATTTTCTGTGGCTGCTTTTATAGAAGTAAACTATGCCTTTTTCCTGAGGCACCTTGGGTGGACTTTATATTGCTAACCATACATGCTTACCTTTTGTACCACCAAGGGAAGGAGAGGAGAGGCTTTTGTTTGTTCATGTTTGCACTACTTGTAAGCTCAGGAAAATAATCTCACTCATCGCTATCAAATCAGTTTTTACTCACAGCAATGCTAGAAGACAGTAGAACTGCCCCTGTGGGTTTCCAAGATTGTAACTCCACGGAAGAGAAAACCTCCTCTCTCTCCTGTAGGGCCACTGGTGGTTTTGAACTGCTGACCTTGCTGTTGGCAGCCCAATGCATAACTACTGTGCCACCAAGGCTCCCTGCAGGATAACTGATAGTCACTACTTTTAAAACCTTCAGTTTGACAAAAGTGCTTTCAGTTCCTTTTTAGGGAGCTGCAGGGGCAATTTATCCTAAGAAGAAACCAAAAGGACGGGCATAACCACTCTAAATCCAAAATAGTTGTTCAAGGGAAGGGAGCATCAAGAGAAAAGGGAACTATGTTTCCTGGTGGTTTACATATTCAGACAAGGTACCACGTACTTCAGGTTTCATCACGAAAGATGAAAACAGTTGTCTAACTTCTCTCTAGGATGAGTCTCAGACTCGGTGAGAACTTAATGGAAGGTAAGGTCTGTCTAGCCCACTGTGGCCTCAGAGACTTAACTGTTTTATTATTATTAATAAATAATGTATTAACTGTTCCACGGAAGGGAGCTGTGTATTAACTGTTCCATGGAAGGGAGCTGAACTGAGCCCCGTGCTGCTGTGTGGACTAATTAGCTGTTATATTCCTGTATCTGTCTGTACATTCATACATATGTGTCCTGTTTTGTTTCTCTAGAGAATCTCTCTAACACATTAGGTACCGGGAATGGTTCTAGAGAAACAAGATCATAAATATGGGCTTCTCACATTGGCTCTCCAGTCTGATTAGGCTTACCAGCACTGATAATGCTATCTCTAATCCTAAAGGCATGGATAAGTCCGCCACTCTTACTAGAGTGGGTGGTGTTACTCCGTGGTGTGAAGTAGCAAAGCTGATAGCCACAGTATTTGTAGATCTTCACAGCTGATCTGCTGGGAGGAGGGAGGACTGCCAAGTCTGCTATTTTAATGTAGTTTTTGTTACTCCACATGACAGATAATACCATTCTGCATTTGTGAAGGGCCTACACCAACAAATTTAGATGAATGCATAGGGTCAGGATACACCAGGGGTAAAGAAATAACATCAGTTATTTAGCATTTGAGGTGGAGAAGCTCCTTTATTCATTGATCTCTTCATCATCATCCCCAAAAGCTTCTTCTCCATCATTAACTGTAGCTTCTTGATACTGCTGGTATTCTGACACCAGGTCATTCATGTTGCTCTCAGCCTCAGTGAACTCCATCTCATCCATGCCCTCTCCAGTGAACCAGTGCAAGAAGGCCTTGCGGCGGAACATGGCTGAAAACTGCTCTGAGATGCGCTTGAAAAGCTCTTGTAT